AACATTAATGTGAAGACACTACTTTTTCGAAGCTTAAAACAACGTTTCTTCAAGTTTGACAGTGAATTATTGCTAAATCACAAACGATACAACAGTCTCAGTTTAATTTGGTTGATAAATAAAGAATTTGTCGCTTATACTTTTCTAGATATAAGCTATAAAGTAAAGATAAAGAAAATTTACTAATCCATTAATTGAATATTTATATTGATCATTGAATTAACATTCATAATTACATTTTATTATTCGAATCCAATTTATTTAATCTTATATAAATTTTCCAAATGAAATAAATATTTTATTATATAAATCGTCTGCTTTGCAAACAATGGTAAAATGCAGCTGAATAATTAAATTTAGACTTATGAAAAATTAAATTATTCCCTTGAATTAATTTACATGACAGTTGTATAGTAAATATACTGTTTGCAATTGAAGTTTTACGCAGCGGCCATCTATAAACACGTGCGCAAACTAATTCCCAATTTGATTAAGATAAATAATGGCGCATCCTAGATTTTAATTAAAGTTCTGGTAAATAATCTCTGATTAATCATGGAACCAGTAGTGGCGCAACAACAGGGCTGCACAAACGTGTGTGAGTGTATGCGCATGTACGTATACAAATTAAAGGACATATGTGTGGATGTGTTGGTCGAGTTGAACAGGACGAATATTGCGAATGTCTAATGTCCAGCCGCTGCATGGCTAATTTCCTTTCCAGCTAGTGGACATTTACGTCGCGTTTCAGCTAGGAAACACGGAAATGTATGTGGATAAAGCGTGTGTCATGAATCAATCAAAACAGATGTGTTTCTGACAGCGATACCCGACCAATGGACACAATGGAACCGACCAGAGTTACGGCCGTCTTCAACAATGAACTGCGTCCACACACACGTCCGCCCACCGCAGCACCGAATTTGTGCTCATTGTCCGCAGGATGCAGGAACCCAGTTTCTTTTCTTCACTACAATAATTAGTCCTTGCTAATCTGAAGAAACACACGCAAACTAAGTACATTAATTATACTCCCCTTATTACTCAACTCAACTTGTATAGCGCTCCAAATTTGAGATAATCTCATTAAATCTACACTTTATTAATACGCTCGTTATCTAATTTATACCCACCGAAGCTTGTATTTAGTACACTTTCATCTCTTTACTGCATATTAAAAACAAAGATTTTTCTTATGCCGAGACATTAAAGTGACTTACGAGGTATGACATTAAAGTTTTTCCCATATAGAAAACGCTTTATATAAAGTCGTTGATAAAGAGAGAAAAAGTAAACGATTTTTTGATGGAACATAGTAAAAAGTTACTAAATCGTTAAAACAAATCTATTTATAATTGAATGTTGGTTGAAATTTTAATATTTTAAATATTATTTGTATATAAGTATGTATTATATTTCTTTCAAATACTTTTAATTTTATAAATTAAATATTAATATAATAAATATGCAATGATTAGTAAAAATATATTGTATTTCTTTTCATATAAATATTTTCTATAAAAACATAAGATCTCAAGACTATATGGAATTCTAGAAATTTAGTAAATTCTTGTCTTAAAAGTTCAGTTTTAAATATTAATAAATAACTTCAAATTATGTTATCAATTATGGTTTTCTAAACTAATCAAATCTTAATATTTATGAATGTTTTGCATTTGAAAGAATCCATAATAATAATAAGAAAGCCTTGTTTATTATAAATAATTTGGACAGAAATTTATTCATATTTTGAATTTGAATCAAACATTTTAGTATAACATTAACAAATATTTTTCGATTATTGTTTAGCTTCAATATTGATGTAAATATTTAGAGCAATTTTAAGCATATTACTAAAAATGAATGTATATATTTAAAAAATGGTGATTACATCATTACATTACATTTATTTTACAAGTTAAATCAATTTGAATTTATATTTGTATTATTTTGAATCAAGTAGTATTATGAGGATTATCTTACTAAGTATTCATGATTGAAGAGGGTATTTGCATTTCAGAGTTGCATTAGAGGTAGCCAGATGTGCGTTGCTTAGTCATAACATAAATAGGGGTAAATATACCAACATATTCATCATGCAAAACATTGAAGAAAAAAGTATGATATGATAATAAAACTGAAAATAAAAGTGTAGGTATTAGATTGCATTAAGCTTCAATTAAAAAAATAATACATCTTATATTTACTTTGCAACACACTCTTTCATTTAAAGCAGAAAACAATGCCAGATGTAGTGTTGGATTTGAAAAAATATTGATGAAAATTATTGAAAAACATGCTTTAATTGGACTATTTTATTGAAACTAAGTAATTCTCTATATTTACATAAAAAAAATATATTTTTTACAGAATTTACTATCCAAAAAATATTGTAAGTAAAATATATATGTCATACATACTTTTCGTGATATTAACATTAATGTGAAGACACTACTTTTTTGAAGCTTAAAAGAACGTTTCTTGAAATGGGCACGAAAATTAGTGCTTATATGAAAACGTTAATCGTATGACTCTATTTCGTCACCTAACTAGAAGAATCCTTAATTTTCTAGTAATTTTCATGTTTGTAAATTATTTATGTAACAAGAAACACATAGCATAAACTTTCTCTATTCCCTCTAATAAATAGGTAAAGCTTTTCTTGCTCTGCTTTTTGTTCGGTCCTTGTAAACATTTCCATTGAAATATTCATAAATTTCTTAGTAATTCCGAAGAGGTATACACAAGAAGAAAAAAAAGAGGAGAAGAATAAGGAAAAAAAAAAGATCATAACGCTGGAATCTAGCAAAACTTTGCCAGCGCATACATAAATATCCTAAAATCCAAGACAATGTAGAACTTATGTAAGTTTAATAAAACATCTTTGTTGATGCCTTTCGTACGCTGGAAAACGTTCTCAATAATTAATAAGCACCGTCTGAAACTTTCACTTTACGTATTAATTATTAATCAGCAAAATGAGGCGAAGGAGGCTTCTTTTCGTTCAACAATTCCTTTTGTAAACGCTTCCAACAAAACAACAACAATTTTATAATAATAATAATAATAAAGTAGAAATTCCGTCGCTGTTCGATCAGCAATAAATGAATTATTCGCATTTGCCCAGCCCGAAATTCAATCAAATTTCTAATGGAGTCTCTGTTACATAATTAAGTGATGGCTGCAGCAGCATCCTACACGTTTCTCCCTGCGGGATCCATCGAACTGAACTTCAATTGATAATTCGCACCGGATTATTGTCCGGCCTTGTTTCCGAATTATTCAACGTCGCGTTTGATTTATTCACGACACAAATTCGCGAATAGCATTTGTATTCTGCAATTAACGATTTATGTCATCCGCACTAAACCCACACAGCATCATCCATTCATACCATTATAAATGCATTTTCCTACCTGAAGCATATTTTGTTTATCGTTTCTACTTCGATTTAAAATTTATTGATACACACATTTTTATATCCTATTACAATTTTACAATCCAATAAACTAATTCAATTTAATTACAATTATTTTAATTGTAATCAATTTTTATGATTGCAAAAAAATTGCTTTGTTTTCAATTGAATCAAATTTTTATTAACAATTTAGACGATTATGAAATATTTATTTGCAATTGAAGTATTTCCAGTCTTTTTTTTATAAGTTTCTGTTACAAATCAATTTTATATAGATTATAAAAAATACAAATACAAGTTTTAATTACAATTATTTTAATTGCAATCAATTTTTATGATTGCAAAAAAGTTGCTTTAAATACTTTGTTTTCAATTGAATCAAATTCTTATTAACAATTTAGACGATTATGAAATATTTATTTGTAATTGTATTATTTCCAGTCTTTTTTTATAAGTTTCTGTTACAAAATATTAAAAATAAACTATTTTTTTACTCGCGCGGCGTCTGTGTTTGTACACACTACAGTGACATAAAATGTTTAATAATTAATGTTCTCTAAGTGTAATATATTTAAATTATATAAGTTAATAATGATTTCGGTTCTTACCTACCTGAGTTTGGTGCAAAAACTTTTTAAAGGCAGATAGGAAGATTGGTTAGTTCGGAATAGGCTTTCTTTTAATTTTATTGTCAAACGATACGATCTTCGCGGTATTTGAAAGAAGCTTGATTAATTTCGAGCGTGAAATATCTGCAGTCGGTGGGAAGTTTCTTCCCCGATGCTATTCCGGTCTTTATCGCGCGACTTTCTTGGAGAGTTGTGGATTTATTGCGGGGGCGGCCGGATGTCGGAAATATGGCTGTTTTAAAATTGTCTGCCCCTAAATACACTTATTTCCCGCTACATACATCAGCGATTGCCGCCACCGCCGCCGCCTTCTGTTCCACGTCTGATATTTAAAAAGTTAACCAAACCCCCTATCCTTCTTCATACCCAAACCAAAAGACTTACCCAAGAGAGGGATGAAAGCGGCTGCGACGGGACGCGCGTTTATGTGTTGATGCTAAGTTTAATGATCGTCTGCGGATGATTTATTGATACAACCAGCCACTGGATGGTGTTGGCATCCACCATAAAATCGACAAACAATAAGCCGAGGGTGCTAAATCACCGCCATTCAATCTCGCATCACACCGCACTATATGACCCCCCCTAATTTGCACACAAACCGAACACATCCGAAGCCCTACAAAGCGCGCGCGTTTAATATATATATTTTTTCAATTACATCACCAAAGGGAACAAAAAAAAATCAGATTAATCCTTCGCACGTCTAGACTGATCCTTCTTTCATTCTTCATCCATGCACGTAAATATTATAACCACCGTAAATATTCCTCGCACCTCTAAATTATTATTTTTTACGAGCGACCTTTTAATCTAAGTTTATGAATCTTTTTCAAAACTTGGGATTAGTCTTAACTCGATGGACAATCCTCGCCGCTAATCCCGAATGATTTGGGTACATCGCAAATTCCAATAACCACAGCCTGATTTTCGCCGCAAATCAATCAATCTACTTGATTTGTAATATCTAAATTTTATTTCTTCTTAAAAAATACAGAGAATCAAGCGCTTCTCGGCTTCAACTTAACGCAAATTCCATTTTCTGAGGTCAACGTGACCTTGGAAATTAGTACTGGTTTGTATCCAGGTACAGGAAGCAACTCGAAGTGCTTGAGCACTTTGGCTATGGCGGACTTCAACTCAAGCATAGCGAATTTTTGACCTAAATTAAAAATAGCAATATTTATTTACATTGTAAATTACATAATCGAATTATTTACCTATGCAATTCCTGTGACCGGCGCTGAAAGGAATGTAAGCTAACGGATGGCGTTTAGACTGTTTCTCGGCTGTAAATCTCAAAGGATCAAACTTCTCGGGATCCGGGAATTCAACGGGATCTCTGTGCAAAGTGTACTGGTTTATGTTTATCATTAAATCCTTTGGTAACTTAGTTCCATCTGAAGTATATTAAATATAAATTAAGTTTCAAATAATCAACAATTTTGTACTGACTGTATAGAAATTCTTTTCCCACTACTCGTCCATGAAACACGACTGAAGGATACAGCCTTAGAGATTCCTTAATTACCATCTCTAAATATTTTAAATTTTGAAGATCGGTGATCGTAACTGCGCGATCTGTTGGTAACACGTGGCAAATTTCCTCGTACGCTAGTTTCTGCACCTCCGGGTTCTTTGAGAGATTGTAACAGGTGAAGCTTATTGCCGCTGAAGTAGTATCATGTCCCTGAAAATATATTCAAATCCAGTAATATGATCTTAAAAATACTATTTTCAAAAGGTAAAATGGAAATCATGCCAAATTTAATCCAGTTAAATTTCAAACTAAATATCTTCTAAGTTCAAAAAAGTTCTCACATATTTGCTAATTTCTTGAGAAACATAACTTTCAAGTATATATATATATTTAAATGCTCTAAAACTAGTATAGTTTTTGTAATCTTTAACGAGATAACAATTTTCTAAAAACTAAATTTTAATTCTAACAAAAAAATAACATTTTGCTTAATTTTCAGTAATTTGACAAACATTTGTATGTTATTTATAGCTAAATCTATAGGGTATAAGATAAGTCATATTGTATATTAGCAATTGAAGTGAGCAATTGAATGTGTGAAACGACTCAATCAGCGAAATGTTCATTACGCTCGTTATTTTGGGAAATGCATAAGAAAATTTCTGTTTCTTCTCCTTTTCTTTCAAATTAATATTAATTGTGATCCGCAAGTGTTGTTAAACATCTATCCAAATCAATGTTATATCGATTATCAAACAAATACGAAATCAGAAACTTTAAATAAAGTCAACTTTTGTCATCTATTATAGAATTTCTCTTTGTTTTTATTGTCTTATCTCTTTCTTTTAAGGAGAAGCGTTGGATGTATATTGGTAACATATGTTCTTCTTTCATAATTCATTGTTTGAGCTCCAAACATACATCAGATCTATTACTCACCTCGAATAAGAAAGTATCAACTTCTTCGCGAATCTCCTCGTTGGTCAACAGCTTACCATTAATAGTACTCTTCAACAGGATATCCATGAAGGTCATCTTCCTACGTTTACCAAACTCGTCGTATTTATTTTCATCATCGGAATGATGAGACTCTAAAAATTTTCTTCGTTTCTCAATGATGCCGAGGCTGAAGCTGGTAATGATTTCCAGAGCCTTCATCTCGGTTTTGTAGAGATTTGTAAACTTGTAGATCCATTTGTTCCTATAAAACGGATTTAGAAAACGCACAATTGCAATATCCTGCATCGTTTTTATCGCTTTCATGTATTTGTTATTGGGATTGCACTGGACGTTCACTGCTGTTCCCATCGCAGTATCTGGAAATAATCACTATAACTAAGCTATTCCTCATGTAACCAACTGCTTACCGCATATAACGTCCAACGTATAGAGACTGACTATTGTGTGCACATTCACGCAATCCTCGCTGGAGGCTTTCAACAGATTGTCCACCAAGAACTTTCCTCGTGATTCGAATACCTCGATGAAATCTTCCAAGATTTTGTAATGGAAAGCCGGTGTTAGGATCTTCCTGCGCGATCGCCATTTATCACCTACATATTATTTATTTCATAAATACATATCAAACTATGGAAATTATCTACAATACCTGAACTGATGAGAAGACCATCACCCAACCAACGATTAAACATCATGATGTAATCGTCTGATTTATTTATCAAGTTTGAAGAATTCATGACTATCTCCAGAAATTTTACATCTGTTGTCAGCAAGCTCAGTCGTAAGCCGGTGAACATTTTTACAGTCTTTCCATATTTCGCAGGAAATTCGTTGAAAATATCAATATTTTCTAAAATAAATCAATCGTTTATATGAAAATATTAACACAATATTTCTAGTTTAATAGCTTCTTAAATTAAGCAAAGAATGGGTGATCAACCCCTATTATATAATAGCAACTTTATTTGCAAGTACATAGAATTATTGAATGAAAGATATTCATATTATAAAATTAAGTTTAAGTAATTATAGAAATCAAAATATAATGAGATACATTTCTTTTTACATTTATGATGTTTGTTGCAGGTTTTAGTAAACTTAAATTAAAATTATAGAAAATTTCCAAATATTTTTCTTTATTTGCTATTAAAATATCTGTTATCTACTTTACATATTTAATAATTCGTTGGGTTTTAAATTTATTTATCTATTCATATAAAAAAATTACCACTTATAAATATCAAAAAATTTAATTAATCTTATCATATTAATAAATAACGACAAAAATGCACTGAATAAAGTAAAACTATCAAACAATAATTAAAAATGTATTGAAAAGAAAGAAGTTGTTTGTGTTTTAAACATTGATTATCTATAGAAATGTATTAATTCTAATAAGTTTGCTTTATATTAGTTATAATTATTTCTATATATTTTTTATTAAAATATAGTAATTTAAATTCTTTGTTACTACAAAAGTTCCAATAAATTTGTTTAAAATTAGTTTTTATTTATTTATAATATAAATTATATTGTTCCATCTTACTCAGATTTCTCATCATAAACAGATAGTTCCCAATAATTGGTAATGCTGGAGGTCCATTGATATTTTGGAATTGCTTCAAATACTTGTATCGTTTGATACCCAAGAAGAGTGTAACTAATACGACGATAACGTAAAGCAGCAACATCTTTAAAAGTACTGTCACAAGTCGTGGACACGATGCACTACTTAAACTTATTGTCGTTATCTCCATATGAGCACTCAACCATAAATTAAAATTATTCAATAATCAAGGCAAAATGCACGTGGATATTTTTTTTTCGTTGCGTAGCAATTGAAGTAAGCAATTGAATATGTGAAACGACTCAATGATGCATTAGAAAATTTCGGTTTCTTCTCTTCTTTCAAATTAATATCGCACATTAATTGTGATCCGCAATCAATTTTATATATATTATAAAAAATACAAATACGAAATCACAAACTTTAATTAAAGTCAGATTTTGTATTCTATTATAGAATTTCTCTTTGTTTTTTATTGTCTTATCTATTTCTCTTAAGAAGAAGCGTTGGATGTTAGAAACTTAATGATGAATACATTATTTGTAGTTCGTTGCTAAACAAATACTATTGTAATTTGTCGTATTCGATTCTCGTCTCTTCTGGTTAATTACTGGATGCATCGAGAGATGGAAGCATCGAAAGGAAATGCATTGAATCTCATTCTTCGATTGATTACATCATTTAATACGAGAGTTAAATGTGGAGGTCTGAATAATATAATTACTGATTTTTTATATAAAATTAAAAAACTTTTTACCTGGATATGTAGACAAAACAACTTTTTGAAATGTTATTATCATAACACATTGAAACAAACAAATATTAATGGAAAATTAGCAAAACTTTATTTATGTAATCATTATAATTCAGTTAAATCAGTTAAATTCAAATTAATTACAACACTGTAACGAACTACGTTTGATAGACTTTTTGTCCAAAAAATGGCCTAATTGAAATTTTTAAATAAAATAATTTTATTTAAAATTTCCTTTATTTTATATTATAAAGTTTTACAAATTTTACAAATATTCGATTCAATTTATACAATTTATTTCATAAAGAAGTATTAAGTTTCTAACACGATTAAGGAAGTTTATTTATAGGCAATCCTCAAATAACACGATATAAATTGTTATAAATATTACTTTTAAAAAACATTACATTTCACAGTTGACTAAAATCTTGTATAGTTAAGAACATGTAAAATAAAAATCTGTATGAATGTATATATTTTTTGTATGTAATAACATTGGAAATAACCTTTGAAACAAATTAAAAAAAAAAAAAAAATAACAAATAAACTATTACTAAAAACTTATCTTATGAGATACAGCAGAAATTCCCAATTAAAGCAAAACTAATTCCGACTCGAATTTCCTGAATCTCGGCAAATAATTCTGAAGCAATCAATATCTACAAATAGTAATAGCTAAATTTTATTTCTTTTTTCAAAACTATAGAGAATCAACAGCTGCGGGGTTTCAACTTAACGCAGATTCCGTTCTCTGACGTTAACGTGATCTTGGAAATTAGTAGTGGTTTGTATCCAGGTACAGGAAGTAACTCGAAGTTCTCGATCACTTTGGATATGGCCGTCTTCAACTCAAGCATAGCAAATTTTTGACCTAAATTAAAAATAACAATCTTTAATAGTAAATTACATAATCTATTTATTTACCTATGCAATTTCTGTGACCGGCGCTGAAAGGAATGTAAGCTAACGGATGGCGTTTAGACTGTTTATCAGCTGTAAACCTCAAAGGATCAAACTTCTCGGGATCCGGGAATTCAACAGGATCTCTGTGCAAAGTGTACTGGTTTATGGTTATCATTAAATCCTTTGGAAACTTGGTTCCATCTAAAGTATATTAGAATCTAAATTATATCACATAAACAATATTTTTTTACTGACTGTATTCAAATTCTTTTCCTACTACTCGTCCATGAAACGGGACTGATGGATACAGCCTTAGAGATTCCTTAATTACCATCTCCAAATATTTTAAATTTTGAAGATCTTCGATTGTAACTGCGCGATCTGTTGGTAACACGCGACAAATTTCCTCGTACGCTAGTTTCTGCACCTCCGGGTTCTTTGAGAGGTTGTAACAGGTGAAGCTTATTGCCGCTGAAGTAGTATCATGTCCCTGAAAATATATTCAAATCAAATACTTTCCACGAATGAATAGTATAAAAAATACATTAGATGTTTACTCACTTCGAATAAAAAAGTATCAACTTCCTGGCGAATCTCTTCGTTGGTCAATGGTTTACCATCAATAGTACTCTTCAACAGGATGTCCATGAAGGTCATCTTCCTACGTTTACCAAACTCGTCGCATTCATCTTCATCATCGGAATGACGTGACTCCAAAAATTTTCTCCGTTTCTCAATAATGCCGAGGCTGAAGCTGGTAATGGTTTCCAGAGCTTCCAACTCGGTTTTATAAAGATTTGTATACTTATACGTCCATTCGGTTCTATAAATCGGATGTATCATGCGCACCACTGCAATATCCTGCATCATTTTTATCGCTTCCATGTATTTGTGATCGGGGTTGCACTGGACGTTCACGGCTGTTCCCATCGCAGTATCTGGAAATAATCACTACAGCTAAGCTCGTCCTCATATAACCAACTGCTTACCGCATATAACGTCCAACGTATAGAGACTAACTATTGTGTGCACATTCACGCAATCCTCGCTGGAGGCTTTCAGCAGATTGTCGATCAGGAACTTTCCTCTCGATTCGAACACCTCGATGAAATCCTCCAGGATCTTGTAATGGAAAGCTGGTGTTAGGATCTTCCTGCGCGATCGCCATTTATCATCTGCATATCATTTCTTTCATAAAAAAATATCGAACTGTGGAAATTATCTACAATACCTGAACTGATGAGAAGACCATCGCCCAGCCATCGACTCAATAGCATAATGTAATCGTCTGATTTATTTCTCAAGTTTGATGAATTCATGACTACTTCCAACAGTTTCACATCAGTCGTTAGCAAGCTCAGTCGCAAGCCGGTGAATATTTTTGCGGTCTTTCCATATTTCGCAGGAAATTCGTTGAAAATATCAATATTTTCTGAAATATATCAATCGTTTATAGCTTCAATTATGGAACAAATCAGTATATTACAATATTATATTATATACTAGCAAATTTATTTGCAAGTACAGATAATTATTGAAGAATTTAACTATTCTTTTAAATTTGTAACAGTTATTAATAAATTTATATAAAAATTATAGAAATTTTTTTATTTTTAAAGAATAATTATTTTCATTTATTTTTTATATTAGATTTTTCCTGTCTTCGAAGGTGAAAATTTAATTATTTCTCGTTGTTGTCTTGAATAATTTTTACTTTCAATATAAACTGAAATTAATATTTTAAGAAAATAATCAAACGTAAATATAATTTATGTTATCTGCTTTATAACTTCATTAAACATAGACAATTGACATGAAACTTAAAATCATTTTAATTATTTGTATTGTTTTAAATTTATTTATCTATTCATATCCCAAAAATTCGATTAAGCATTAAATAATAAACTTTGACTTATTAATTCTAACAAAACCGATATTAACAACGAATAAAATGAAGTAGTTTTTTTGAAACCTTGAACTTCTATAGCAGGGGTGGCCAAACTGTGGCTCACGAGCCGCATGCGGCTCTTCAAAGGTCTTGTTATGGCTAGTTGAGCCACAATAAAACACAAATATTATATATATTTTATATTCTGACTGATTTTTTTTTTTAATTATTATACCAAAAACTTTAGGTGCGGCTCTTGTTGCAAAAAGTCTGGCCACCCCTGTTCTATAGATGTGTATGAATTCTAAAAAGTTTACTTTATATTACTTCATTTCTCTTTTACTAATAAAGTTCCAACAAAGTTGTTTAATATTAATTTTTATTTATGTACACTTAAATTATATTTTTCCATCTTACTCGTATTTCTTTTCAAAAACAGATAATTCCCAATAATCGGTAATGGTGGAGGTCCACTGAAATTACGGAATTGCTTCAAATACTTGTATCGTTTGATAACCAGGAAGAGCGTAACTACAACGATTACGTACAGCAGCAGCATGTTTAAAAATACTGTCACAAATAGTTAGGACGATGCCGTATTTGTACTTCTTGTCGTTATCACCATTTCCGCACTCAACCATCAATTACAATTATTCAATGATCAAGCAAAAATGCACGTGGACAATTGCGTAACAATTGGAGTGAACAATATAATGTGAGAAACGACTCAATGAGCGAAATGTTAAATACGCTCAACAATTGTTGAATTTCCTCCTCAGCTTTAAAATTAACATCGGACTTTAATTGGAGCCTGAAGAGTCGTTAAGCATCCATCCAAATCAATGTTATATCGATTATAAAACAAATACGAATTTAAGACTTTAATTAAAGTCATCTTTTACGCAATTTCTCTTTGTTTTTACTATCTTCTTTTTTTCTCTCAAGCAAAATCATTGAATGTTATAAAGTACTGTTGAAGACATTGTTTGTATTTCTTTGCTAAACAAATAAAAAATTTGACGTATTCGTTTCTTCTGATTAATTGCTGGATGTGTCAAGAGATGAAAGCATCAAAAGCATCGAGTCATTCGTGTTCCATGATAAAAACGTGCTGCACTATCTGTAATTCGAGAGTTCAATGTTGAGGTCATGATAACGTAATTACTGATTTTATTCAGAAAATAAAAACAACGTTTTACCTGGATTACATACACAAAATAAATATTTATTGTTTGTAATAATAATAAGGTTTATTGCAACAATTAATATGATATCAATGCAATAATTAAATTAATCTGTTGCAAATATTTATTTTTAATCTCATAACTTTGTTATATTATTATCATAACACATTGACACAAAGAAATATTTATTGAAAATTATAAAACAAATCTTTGTTTATGTAATTCAAATTAATTACAATAATGTAACAATATATATTTGGTCATGAAAATAGTACAATTGAAATTTTTAATTAAAATAATTTCATAATTATTTACTTTATTTTATATTAAATTATTATATTGACCTTTACAAGTATATTTTAAATAATATATGCATATTTGTAAGCTTGAATTTCTAACACGATTAAGAAAGATTACTTGAATTTAACTGCTTTATTATACAGTAAACTTTTTAATAACATTACTTTTCGCCGTTGATCAAAATCTAAAATGATTACGAAGCGATTTATATTTAAATTAACCATTGACGTTAATATTTAGATATACACTTTGAAACTAATAACAAAATGAGATAACAAATAAATTATTTATAAAACAATTATCAAATCAAACATATCTTATGAGATACTTCAATTAAAAAAAACATAATTCAAGAAGTTTGAAGTTAATTTTAATCAAAGTTTATGAATCTTTTACCGAAGTCTGGATTAGTGCAATTCCGTCTCGATCTCGATTGACGTTCTTGGTCGATAATCCTAAATGATTTGGGTACATCTCATCTCCTGACATTGATTTCGATCAATCGATATTCACGAATAGTATTTGATACATTTTATTTATTCTTAAGAATTATAGAATTTCCCAAACTTTTCCTGCAACGGAACAATTCGTAAATCATAAATTTTTTACGAAACACTTATTTTATAATTACCTACATTACAAAATAATAACATAATCAATAAAATTGAAAAAAAATTAAAACAAAACTCATTATATATTTAGTAATTATTTAATCCCAGGTTTTCATCTATACAGAATCAAGCGCTTCGGGGTTTCAACTTAACGCAAATTCCATTGTCTGAGGTCAACGTGACCTTGGAAATTAGTTGGGGTGAGTATCCAGGTACAGGAAGCAATTCAAAGTTCTTAATCACTTTAGCTATGGCCGACTTCAGCTCAAGCATAGCAAATTTTTGACCTAAATTAAAAATAGTAACATTTGCTTAAATTGTAAATTGCATAATCGAATTATTTACCTATGCAATTCCTGTGACCGGCGCTGAAAGGAATGTAAGCTAACGGATGGCGTTTAGACTGTTTCTCGGCTGTAAACCTCAAAGGATCAAATTTCTCGGGATCCGGGAATTCAACGGGATCTCTGTGCAAAGTGTACTGGTTTATGGCTATCATTATATCCTTTGGTATCTTGGTTCCATCTGAAATATATTCGAGTATAAATAAAGACTCTAATATTCAAGACTTTTGTACTAACTGTAGTCAAATTCTTTATCCACTACTCTTGCATGAAACGCGACCGATGGATACAGCCTTAGAGATTCCTTAATTACCATCTCTAAATATTTTAAATTTTGAAGATCTTCGATCGTAACTGCGCGATCTGTGGGTAACACGTGACAAATTTCCTCGTACGCTAGTTTCTGCACCTCCGGGTTCTTTGAGAGATTGTAACAGGTGAAGCTTATTGCCGCTGAAGTAGTATCATGTCCCTGAAAATATATTCAAATCAAATACTTTCCACAGATAAATAGTATAAAAAATACATTAGATGTTTACTCACTTCGAATAAGAAAGTATCAACTTCTTGACGAATCTCTTCGTTGGTCAACGGTTTACCATTAATAGTACTCTTCAACAGGATATCCATGAAGGTCATCTTCCTGCGTTTGCCAAACTCGTCGCATTCATTTTCATCGACGGAATGACGCGACTCCAAAAATTTTCTGCGTTTCTCGATGATACCGAGGCTGAAGCTGGTAATAGTTTCCAAAGCTTTCATCTCGGTTTTGTAGATATTTGTAAACTTGTATGCCCATTCGTTCCTGTAAATCGGATTCATAATGCGCGCCACTGCAATATCGAGCATTGTTTTTATCGCTTCCATGTATTTGTGATCGGGATTACACTGGGCATTCACGGACGTTCCCATCGCAGTATCTGGAAATAATCACTATAGCTAAGCTTGTCCACATACAACCAACTGCTTACCGCATATAACGTCCAACGTATAGAGACTGAATATTGTGTGCACGTTTACGCAATCCTCTCTGGAGGCCTTCAGCAGATTGTCCACAAGGAACTTTCCACGCGATTCAAACACTTCGATGAAATCCTCCAGGATTTTATAATGAAAAGCTGGTGTTAGGATCTTCCTGTGCGCTCGCCATTTATCACCTTCATATTATTTATTTCATAAATACATATTGAACTATGGAAATTATCTACAATACCTGAACTGATGAGAAGACCATCGCCCAACCAACGATTAAATATCAGGATGTAATCGTCTGATTTATTTATCAAGTTTGGAGAATTCATGACCACCTCCAGCAGTTTCACATCTGTCGTTAGCAAGCTCAGTCGCATGCCGGTGAATATTTTTGCGGTCTTTCCATATTTCGCAGGAAATTCGTTGAAAATAGCAATATTTTCTGAAATAAATCAAATAATTTAATAATACACAAGTCATTTAAACAAGATCACTAACACAATGTTTCATATTTAATAGCTTTTTATATTAAATTATATTCTAGTAACTTTATTTCCAAGTATAGCGAATTCTTCACCAAAAAGTTCAGATTTAGCAGGATTTATTATTTTTTCTAATTTTTAATGTAATAAGGAATAATTATTTTGATTTCCATTTATTTATTTATATTTGTATTAGAATTTATTTTTCGTCGTAAGTGATTAATTGATAATTAATTATTTCTCGTTATTTTTTAATAATTTTTACAGTACTTTTAATGTAAAATCATATAAAAGTACACTTCTAGAATAGCTAGAAGTTCAACGTACATACGGGTTGAGCAATAAATAATGAACTCTTACAAATTAATGCTAACAAAACTGATTTTTTTCTTAAGATTTTAATAACTACATAAAAGCAGTGAACAAAATAAAGCTACTATACGTGACTTTAAGACATATTAAAAAAAGGGGCGTAAAGACTTAGGTCGATAGCCCATTGGTTGCATTGTAACTAATAAATATTATTATTGAAATAAATATGGTGTTTATTTTAGAAACCTTGAATATTTATAGAAATTAATTAATTCTTTATATTAGTTGTAATTATCTGTATATGTTTTTATTCCAAATATAGTAATTACACTTCCCGGTCTCTTTGTTACTAATATAGATCCAACAAGGTTGCTTTAAACAAGTTTTTATTTATATACTTTTAAACTATATTTATCCATCTTACTCAGATTCCTTTTCATAAACAAATAGTTCCCAATAATTGGTAATGGTGGAGGTCCATTGATATAACGGAATTGTTTCAAATACTTGTATCGTTTGATACCCAAGAAGAGTGTAACTAATACGACGATAACGTAAAGTAGCAACATCTTTAAAAGTACTGTCACAAGTCGTGGACATAACGCTATACTTATTTAGTTGTTACTCTCGTTATCTCCATCTGCGCACTCAACCTTCAATACAATTATTCAATTATCAAACCATGCGCGAATACTGCATTCTTTTCTGTAATGCTGCAACAACAGTTGTTGATTTGCGGAGTTATTGGAAATATGATCCACCGACATAATAAAATTTAGCTTTTTCTTCTCTGCTTTCAAATTAATATGATGCGTTCATTGAGAGCTGGAAAAACCGGAAGTGTTGTTAAACATCTATCCAAATTAATGTTATATCGATTATCAAACAAATACGAATTAACGGACTTTCATTAAAGTCACCTTTTATCATCTGTTATGCAATTTTTCCAGGACGTCTTGTTTTCTTTTTGCATGTTGGAAACTAATGATAATGATGGATTTCCTAGCGCAAACAAATACAAATTGGTCGTATTTGATTCTCGACTCCTCTGGTTAATTGCTGGATGAATTTATATGTTTATTTATCGCATACACTCGTTTTCCTTGATAAAAATGCGCTACGCTTCTTCAATTGACTGCTCTTTTTAATCCGAGAGTTCAAGTTTGAGGTCACGATAAAGTATTTGTACTTTCTTTCATAATACATTGATATAAATAATATTTTTAAAAATTAAATAAAAACCAATTGTAATGATTCTTTACAATTTTCAGTGAAATCATAGAAATTGAAATTAATTACAGCAATGATATTTTTATTGAAATAGAACTAGTTTATTGTTTTTATTACAGGCGGAAAGACAACGGTTGAAAAACTTTTGGGCGAATAAAAATTGTTAAATTTTACTCATAAACAAATATCAAATTTTGTGTATGTAATAAGGCGAAACGATTTACATTTATATTCAAGCTAACGATTGACGTAAGCATTTGTAAATACACTTGGAATCAAATAAAAAAAAATGTTTCTATGAAGGAAAAAACGAAGAAAATTAATGAATATTATACAAGATGTGTTAAATGATTTCATTATGTAACATTTTGGGTTAATCTAAGTAAGTTTTGAGTAACTTATACTTACTGCTTGGATTTTTAAATAGTAATGCGTTTCCAACTATTGGATATGCCTTGGGTCCATCGATTTTTTCAAATAGTTTCAAGAAATTGTACCTTTTATAGCACAGTACGAGAAAAACAAGCAGAATCACAACCGCGTATTGCCACATCTTGGTGCAAACACTCAGCAATTTCAATAAATGTATATTTATTCGATCCGTTTATCTTGTTATTATATTAATTTCATTCAAAAAAGGATAAGAAACAAAATGAACCATGCGCATCTATTTTATCGTCAGTGTTTTTAAATAAACTTCTCATGAATGCATGATAATCTCTGTAAAATTAATTATTTATCAGTTGAAAATAGAGAAATATATTTCTGATAGTTTAAATATTATTTTTTATATATTTTTATATCACTATTGACTTTAATAGGGACGAATTTACATTTGATATAAAAACTGCGACCCTTTAATGAAAGTTTATGAATATTTTTCCAAACTCAGAATTAGTACCATTCCGGTCTTAAGTCTATTGATGATACCGAATGAATTGGATACATTTGGATACATTTGGAACTCAAATCAATAAGTCTTAAAATTTGAAAAAACTAAATTTTATTTAATATTAAAACGTACAGAAAATTAAGAGTTTCTGGGTTTCAACTTAACGCAGATTCCGTTGTTTGAGTTCAACGTGATCTTGGAAATTAATTCGGGTGTGTATCCAGGTACAGGAAGTAACTCGAAGTTCTCGATCACTTTGGCTATGGCCGTCTTCAACTCAAGCATAGCAAATTTTTGACCTAAATTAAAAATAACAATATGTTTAATAGTAAATTACATAATCGAATTATTTACCTATGCAATTCCTGTGACCGGCGCTGAAAGGAATGTAAGCTAACGGATGGCGTTTAGACTGTTTATCAGCTGTAAACCTCAAAGGATCAAATTTCTCGGGATCCGGGAATTCAACGGGATCTCTGTGCAAAGTGTACTGGTTTACGGCAATCATTAAATCCTTTGGTAACTTGGTTCCATCTGAAGTATATTAAAATGTAAATTATCAGTCAAATAATCAATGGTTTTGTACTGACTGTATTCAAATTCTTTTCCCACCACTCTTGTATGAAATGCGACCGGTGGATATAACCTAAGAGATTCCTTAATTACCATCTCCAAGTAATTTAAATTCTGAAGATCTTCAATCGTAACTGCGCGATCTGAGGGTAACTCGTGGCAAATTTCCTCATACACCAGTTTCTGCACTTCTGGGTTCTTTGATAGGCTGTAGCAGATGAAACTTATTGCTGATGCAGTAGTGTCATGTCCCTGAAAATGTATTAAAATCTAGTAATATAATCTTAAAATTAGAAAGATTTATAACTTTGGAAAAGTAAAATGTTTCATGTTTACTCACCTCAAACAAGAAAGTATCAACTTCCTCGCGAATCTCCTCGTTGGTCAACGGCTTACCATTAATAGTACTCTTCAAGAGGATATCCATGAAGGTCATCTTCCTGCGTTTACCAAACTCGTCGCATTCATTTTCTTCATTGTAATGACGCGACTCCAAAAATTTTCTGCGTTTCTCGATGATCCCGAGACTGAAACTGGTAATGGTTTCCAGAGCCTTCAACTCAGTTTTGTAGAGATTTGTACACTTGTACATCCATTCGGTCCTATAAATCGGGTTCATAATGCGATCCACGGAAATATTGCACATCGTTTTTATCGCTTCCATGTATTTGTGATCGGGATTGCACTGGGCATTCACGGACGTACCCATCGCAGTATCTGGAAATAATCACTCTACCTAAGCTCTTCCGCATATAACCAACTGCTTACCGCATATAACGTCCAACGTATAGAGACTGATTATTGTGTGCACGTCCACGCATTCCGCACTGGAGACCTTCAACAGATTATCCACTAGGAACTTTCCACGAGATTCGAATACCTCGATGAAATCCTCTAGGATCTTGTAATGGAAAGCCGGTGTTAGGATCTTCCTGTGCGATCTCCATTTTTCACCTGCATGTCATTTGTTTCACAAAGATTTCTTAAACTGTAGAAATTATCTACAATACCTGAACTGATGAGAAGACCCTCGCCCAGCCATCGTTTCAATAGCATAATGTATTCGTCTGATTTATTTATCAAGTTTGGAGAATTCATGACCACCTCCAGCAGTTTTACATCCGTTGTTATCAAGTTCATTTTCATTCCTGCGAACATTTTTGCGGTCTTTCCATATTTCGCACGAAATTCGTTGAAAATAGCAATATTTTCTTAAACAAATCAAATAGAATATTTTTATAACTTAAATATAATCGTTAAACTAAAAACACAATATTTCGTAAAGTCAAACAACAATTATTTGCTTGTAAACTTTATTTGCAAGAATGAATATAGAAAATTATTGAATCAAAGATGTTAAGTAATAAATTTCACTTTGGGTTTATTTTTAAATTTTTATAAAACAATTCTTAAATCAAACGTTTATTATGACAAACAACAGAAATTCTCCAATTAAAAAGCATTATTCAAAAAAGTTTAAAGTAATATAAAGGAATATTTGCACATAAAACAAAATTTAATAGATAAGAAAACATATATAATATTATGGATAAATTATTGAGAATTAAATAATTTCAGTGTTACACTTCTAGTTAATATAATTATTACGTAACTATTGAGTAACATATACTTACTGCTCGGATTTTTAAGCAAAAAATAGTTTCCAACTATTGGATATGCTTTAGGTCCATCAATTTTTTCAAATTGTTTCAAGTATTTGTACCTTTTAAAGTACAAAACGAGAAAAAGAAGCAGAATCACAGCCGCGTATTGCCACATCTTCTTACAGACACTCACCAATTTTCATAAGTAAGTATTTATTTGATACGTTTATCTATTGCAGCTTGATTCTATTAATAACATTAAAAATAAGAATAAGAAACAAAATGCAATGCGCGCATATTCGTTATAACGACTATAAATTCTGAATATTCTTACATAAATACTAATTTATATACAGCTGACTTATCTGATAGTTTGGTGATTAGATTTTTTTTCTGATATAATTTATCATGATTTTAATTTATTTATAAATCTAATTAAGGCTAAATTGACATAAATCTCATTTTTGTACATGTTTATAAACACATTAATAACATTTATTTCATAAGACAATAAATATAGATATTAGTGTTTCTCGCATCTCCAAATCATTAATTCTTACAAACTATCCAGTAATGAAAATTTATAAATCTTTTTCCAAATTCGGAATTCTGGCTTTCACTAGATTGATGATACCGGCTGCTAATGGATTAGCATTAGAATATGATTTGAGTATTCATTTGGATCAATCTTCACTAATAATAATAATAGCTATTTATTATTATTTTATCTTCAAAACTATAGAGATTCAAGTCCTTCTGGGCTTCAACTTAACGCAGATTCCATTGTCTGAGGTCAACGTGACCTTCTTAATTAGTTGGGGTTTGTATCCATGTACAGGAATTAACTCGAAGTTCTTGATCACTTTGGCTATGACTGCAACTCAAGCATAGCATAAATTAATAATTGCAATATTGGTTTAAATTGTTAATTACATAATCAAATAATTTACCTATAACTTCTTTGCTAGTTGCTTCAGCATTTTTAGTTTTCATTATTTTATGTAATCTAATTTATTTTGTTTTAACTTCACAAAAATTAACAATTGCAGGCAACAATTGAATGTGCGTTTCACAGCGAAACAACTTAATGAGCGAAATGTTAATTGCGCTCGTTATTTTGGGATGATGCAACAACGGTTGTTGATTTGCGGAGTTGTTGGAATGCGGTCCGCCGGTATAATTAAATTTCGCATTTTCATCCTCTGCTTTCAAATTAATATGCGACGTTAATTGAGAGCCGGAAAAGCCGGAAGTGTCATTAAGCATCCATCCAAATCAATGTTATATCGATTGTCAGACAAACACGAATTCGCGGAGTTTAATTAAAGTCGCCTTTTGTCGTCTGTTATGTAGGGACTCCGTGTGTTTTTTTGTGCTCCATCAAGAGCTTCTTCGCTTTGGATGTTGGAAACTAATGATGAAAGCTTTGTTTGCATTTCCTTGCTAAACAAATACTAGTTTGTCGTATTCGATTCTCGTCTCTTGTAGTTAATTGATCGAAAGATGGAAGCATAGAATCACATTTATTTGTCGCCTATATTCGTGTTCCATTATCAAAACGATTCTTCAATTGACTGCATTCTTTAAACCGATAGCACAGGATAAACTAATTACGTATTCATCAAATAGAAGCAGCAGTTTATCAAGATTTCACACACAAAATAAGTATTTATATTTATATAGGCACATAAACAAATTTGGAAAAATAGAAAACGTTTATATCATGATTAAAAAGAAGCTATTTACTTCGATAACGATTGGAATACACTTCAAAACAAATTAATATATAAAAATGATTCGAATTAAATTTGTTGCTGAGAAGAAAAAAAAATATTAAGATAACAAAATAAAATATTTATAAAACAATTTTTAAACAACACTTATCTTATGAGATACAGCAGAAATTGTCCAATTAAAAATCATTAATCAAGACGAATTAAGTATTAAAAAATAACAGTAAAGAAAAATTCATAAAATTTAAATCGTAAGTAACTATTGGATACGCCTTAGGTCCATCGTTTTTTTCAAATTGTTTCAAGTAGTTGTACTCTACAGCAAATCAATCTTCACGAATAGTAATAGATACAATTTATTTTATCTTAAAAACTACAGAGAATCAAGCGCTTCTAGGATTCAACTTAACGCAAATTCCGTTGACTGACTGTAACGTGACCTTGGAAGTTAGTTGTAGTGTGAATCCAGGCACAGGAAGTAACTCGAAGTTCTTGATCACTTTAGCTATGACCGACTTAAGCTCAAGCATAGCAAATTTTTGACCTAAATAAAAAAGGGCAATATTTTTTTTTAAATTATAAATTATATAAACGAATTATTTACCTATGCAATTTCTGTGACCGGCGCTGAAAGGAATATAGGCTAACGGATGGCGTTTAGACTGTTCATCAGCTGTAAACCTCAAAGGATCAAACTTTTCGGGATCCGGAAATTCAACTGGATCTCTATGCAAAGTATACTGGTTTACAGATATCCTTAAACCTTTTGGTAACTTGATTCCATCTGAAGTATATTAGAACGTAAATTAAGAATATAGTAATAACTACTTGTGTACTGACTGTATTCAAATTCTTTATCAACAACTCTTGAATGAAGCGGGACCGATGGATGCAGCCTTAGAGATTCTTTAATTACCATCTCCAAATATTTTAAATTTTGAAGATCGGTGATCGTAACCATGCGATCTGTCGGTAACACATGGCAAATTTCCTCGTACGCTAGTTTCTGCACATCCGGGTTCATTGCGAGGTTGTAACAGGTGAAACTTATTGCTGATGCAGTAGTGTCATGTCCCTGAACAAAAATCCAATTCTAGTAATATGATCTTACAAAATTTGTTTCAAGAAATAAAAAGAAATTTATAGTAAACAAGTTAAATATAATTCAAAACTTTACTAATTTCTTATTAGATGTTTACTCACCTCGAATAAGAAAGTATCAACTTCTTGGCGAATCTCCTCGTTCGTCAACGGCTTACCATTAATAGTACTCTTCAACAAGATGTCCATGAAGGTCATCTTCCTGCGTTTACCAAACTCGTCATATTCGTTATCATCATTGGAATGATACGTTTCCAAAAATTTTCTGCGTTTCTCAATGATGCCGAGGCTGAAGCTGGTAATAATTTCCAAAGCATCCATCTCGGATTTGTACATATTTGTATACTTATACATAAATTTTATTCTGTAAAATGGGTTTATAATGCGCGTCATTGAAATATCGCACATCGTTTTTATGGCTTGCATGTATTTGTGATCGGGATTGCACTGAACGTTCATAGCCGTTCCCATCGCAGTATCTAGAAATAATCATTATAGAGTTAAGCTCGTTCTCATATAACCAACTGCTTACCGCATATAACGTCCAACGTATAGAGACTGAATAATTTGTGCACGTTCACGCAATCCTCGCTGGAGGCTTTCAGCAGATTGTCCACCAAGACCTTTCCTCGCGATTCGAACACCTCGATGAAATCCTCCAGGATCTTGTAATGGAAAGCTGGTGTTAGGATCTTCCTATGCGATCTCCATTTTTCACCTGCATGTCATTTGTTTCATAAAGATTTCTTAAACTATACAAATCATATACAATACCTGAACTGATGAGAAGACCATCGCCCAACCATCGACTGAATGCTATGATGTAAGCGTATGATTTATTTATCAAGTCTGGAGAATTCACGATCACCTCTATCAGTTTCAAATCAGTTGTTATCAAGGCCGCGTGCATACCAAAGAACATTTTGGTGGTCTTTCCATATTTCGCAGGAAATTCATTGAAAATATTAATATTTTCTGAAATAAATCAAACAATTTTTAGAACAAACACAACTTATATATAATAGTTTCAAATAATATAATAGCTTCACAAATTAAACAAATATTAAAATATTTCTAGTAGTTTGTTTATTTATCCCTTTCGCGATGATATTTCTTTTGGAGCCCGTTAGAACACAGCAAGTTTTTTTTTTCAATTTTAATTTCTTTATGGAATTGTTAGTTATCTTACATTTATGTTATTTGATTTGTAGCTTTTTGTGTGCTTTAGCTCTTTGTGCCATTACATTGTTAGTTTTTTTGATTAATGATTATTAAAAAAAGAAATACTTAATTGATTTTACAAGTTAATATGATATTTATGTGTGTGATGGTAAGAATTTTTTATTGATTGACTCCAGAAAGGACGTGATTTCTGGGTCATCTGGTCATTTCTGGTTGCTTGCAAGCACCGCAGGAGGGAACGGGATTTTGTGTTTGGATATTTTTTTGTGGCTGCTATCGGTGGAGAGACAATTCTGAGAGGTATAGACAATTTTGTGTTATATTTTTATGACGTGTCGTCCCTGATTTTTTTTAATTTGATCAGATATTGGAGGGAAACAACACGTCAAATGTGTTTTAGTGGTATATATAAGTTGTTTAACATCTAAAATTTCAATCTTTCCATCCCTTTGACTTCCCAATTTGGTAACAATTATAATAAAATAAATAAAACTGTATTTTTTTATCTTACTCAGAATACTTCTCATGTCCAGGAAGTTCCCAATAAACGGTAATGATGGAGGTCCATAGAAATCACGAAATTGATTCAAATACTTGTATCGTTTGATACCCAAGAAGAATGCAATTAATACCACTATAATGTACAGCAGCATTTTTATTCGTACTATCACAAATCGTAGACATAGTGAAGTACTTATACTTACTTTCGTTATCTCCACCTGCGCATTAAACTTTAAATTATAGTTAATCGATAATCAAATTAAAATATTCAATAATATATTTTACTATTTCTTAGAGTATTAAATTTCAGTCAATTAATAAATTATATATTTATTTAGAAAAAGGAAATTACAATAAATATATTCAATACTTAAAAATACTTCACTTCTGAGTTTCAACTTAACGCATATGCAGAACTTATACTTACTTGCGGTATCTCCAACTACACATTCAACCTTTAATTATAATTGATCCATGATCAAATCTAAATGAACGCAGTGTCCGTTACAATTGGATGCAACAATTTAATTAAAACGACTTAATGATCGAAATATTAATATGTAAGAATTGTATTCTGCGCGAATTGTTGGCAAATTTCCTCGTTGACCAGTTTCTGCACACCCGGCTTCTCATATATTTGCTAATTTGTTGAGTTATATAATTTTCAAGTATATATATAAATGTGCTAAAACTAGTATAGTTTTTGTAATCTGTAACGAGATAACGATATTCAAGAAACTAATTTTTAATTCTGACAAAAAGATAAAGTTTTCTTTATTTTTAGTAATTAGACAAATATTTTTTAATATGTTATTTATAGCTAAATCTATAGATGATAAGATTAGTCATATTCTATATTTGTAGTGGTTGTTCTTCAGTTTTAGCTCCAAAAAAATACGTCAGATGAATTACTCATCTATTAAGTATTATATTCTTTCCATATTTCTTAGAAAATTCGTTGAAAATAACAACATATTCTGAAAGAAAACAAAAACATAATAATCACTATTTACTAATTAATATGTTTTAAGCAACGAACGTGTGTCCAATATCTAAATGTAACATTTTTATAAAATCAATAAATTGTTGAAACATTTCTAATGGATAACATGTTGTTTGCTTCGGTTTTAAATTTTTTAAACAGATTAAATTTTAATAAAGGGAAATTCACTTCGAGGCAAATAAAAATCTGAACATATTTTTTTTTAATTAAATTAATTTCATGGTATCATTATCATAATTCTAATATATTCTATACTCACTTTTCTAATTTTTAATCAAAAAAATAGTTTCCAACTATTGGATATGCCTTAGGTCCATCGAATTTCTCAAATTGTTTCAAATACTTAAAATACAGAACGAGAAAAATAAGCAGAATCACAAACGCGTAATGCCGCATCTTTGTGCAAACAATCAACAATTTTCAAAAGCGAATCGTAGAGATAGTGTAGTACTTATATTTACTTGCGTTATCTCCACCTGCGTATTCAACTTTTAATTATAATTAATCAATAATCAAAACTAAATATCCAATAATATGTTTTAACTATTTCATTCATAATGAATCAAATTTCTATCACGATTAAGAAAGTCCCGAATTATACGATCCAAAATTGCTACAACCCTCAGTGTTTAATAAACCGTTTTTTTAAGTAAACTTTATGTTATTTCAACTTTATTTTAAACGATTTATCTACAGTAATAATAGGACTAAATATGCTCACGTAAATAAATCAATTAATAATTTATATATTTATTCAGAAAAAAAAAGATTTTACCAGAAAACAACTTGTGATAAAATTGTATTTTAAAAGTGAGGGCTCAAATTAGGATTTAGATTTCTTGAAGCGCGTGCTAAGAAAATTTAAATTTTAATTATTATATTGTTCTTTAGTATATATACTTAAAATATTCGAAAAATAAAGTAATTCATTTTTTTTTTACTATATCATTCATAAAAAATTATCAAATTTTTAACACAATTAAGTAAATTTATGGAAAATTATAGTTAATCCTCTAATAACATGGTCAAAAATTGCGATAACCTTCAGTAATTTAATAAACCATTTTTCAAGTATTGTTTTCCACAATTTTTAATAGAATTACTTTTCACCGTTAAGCGAAACCTTGTGCAGTTAAATTCAAAAATATTAATCTTGAATCAAGTCCTTATTTGAATCAATTATTTACAGATTAAATTGTGTAATTCAAAGATTGAAAACTGTTTTTGTTATTTCATCGTTATCTCAATGTTTTCGTATATAAATTATTTAATAAAATATATATGTCGGAAATAGCACCAGACCAAACAACAACAATGTCTAGTCGTAAGAGCACCACAAGGAACCAATGACATTATATCATTGTCAGCACACTGGAGCGCGTAGACAGCCAACAAAAAAAATACATATATTGTTTACAATTTTTCGTGAGTACTTCTAGGTTTCAATTTAACGCAGATTCCATTGTCTGAGGTCAACGTGACCTTCTTAATTAGTTGGGGTTTGTATCCAGGTACAGGAAATAACTCAAAGTTCTTGATCACTTTGGCTATGGCCGACTTCAGCTCAAGCATAGCGAATTTTTGTCCTAAAATAAAAATAGCAATATTTTTTGTAAACTTGAAAACACATAATCAAATTATTTACCTATGCAATTCCTGTGACCGGCGCTGAAAGGTATGTAAGCTAACGGATGGCGTTTAGACTGTTTATCAGCTGTAAACCTCAAAGGATCAAACTTCTCGGAATCCGGGAATTCATCGGGATCTCTGTGCAAAGAGTACAGGTTTACGGCTATTCTTAAATCCTTTGGTAACTTGATTCCATCTGAATCATAATAGACTATAAATTAAGTACTCAAATAATTAATAGTTTTGCACTGACTGTAGACAACTTCTTTATCCACTACTCTTCCAAAAATCATGACTGGTGGATACAGCCTTAGAGATTCCTTAATTACCATCTCTAAATATTTTAAATTCTGAAGATCAGTGATCGTAACTGTGTGATCTGTCGGTAACACGTGGCAAATTTCCTCGTACACCAGTTTTTGCACATCCGGGTTCTCTGCGAGGTTGTAACATGTGAAACTTATTGCCGCTGAAGTAGTATCATGTCCCTGAACACAAATTTAATTCTAGTAATATCATCTTACAATTATTGCTCCAAGAAGCAAAAAAAATAACAACTAACAAGCTAAATATTGTACATTTACATTTTACTGTTTTTCTCGGAAACTATAAAAGATAGAATGGATGCAAAGGATGCATATGAAAGCTGAATAGTTGGGGAATGTAACGAGTATTCATATATTATTGTGATTTCATCGGTTTGGCTGTAATTGCTGTTTAAATTTGAAAAAACGTTCAAAAAGCAGTGTTTTCACATTTTATTGATTTAATAAAATAGTTGGGGAATGTAACGAGTATTCATATATTGTTGTGATTTCATCGGCTTGGCTGTAATTGCTGTTTAAATTTGAAAAAACGTTCAAAAAGCAGTGTTTTCACATTTTACTGTTTTTATCGGAAACTATAAAAGATAGAATAGAAAAGTTAGTTAGCTTTCCTAATTTCATATTAGATGTTTACTCACCCCGAATAAGAAAGTATCAACTTCCTCGCGAATCTCCTCGTTGGTCAATGGCTTACCATTAATAGTACTCTTCAACAGAATATCCATGAAGGTCATCTTCCTTCGTTTACCAAACTCGTCGTAGTCGTTAACATCATCGGAATGACGCGACTCCAAAAATTGTCTGCGTTTCTCGATGATGCCGAGGCTAAAGCTTTTAATAGTTTCCAGAGCCTTTATCTCACTTTTGTAGAGATTTGTATACTTGTACATCCATTCACTCCTGTAAATCGGGTTTAAAAGGCGCGTCGGTGCAATTTCGCACATTGTTTTTATCGCTTTCATGTATTTGTGATCGGGATTGCACTGGGCATTCACGGAAGTTCCCATCGCAGTATCTGGAAATAATCACTCTACCTAAGCTCGTCCGCATATAACCAACTACTTACCGCATATAACGTCCAACGTATAGAGATTGATTATTGTGTGCACGTCCATGCATTCCTCGCTGGAGGCCTTCAACAGATTGCCCACCAGTAATTTTCCATGAGATTCGAATACCTCGATGAAATCCTCTAGGGCTTTATAATGGAAAGCTGGTGTTAGAATCTTCCTGTGCGATATCCATTTTTCACCTGTACGTCATTTCATAAACATTTATTAAACTATAGAAATTATCTACAATACCTGAACTGATGAGAAGACCATCGCCTAGCCAACGACTGAATAACATAATGTAGTCGTTTGTTTTATTTGTCAAGTTTGGAGAATTCATGACCACCTCTAGGAGTTTCACATCCGTTGTTATCAAGTTCATTAACATGCCGGTAAACAGTTTTATGGTCTTTCCATATTTGCTATGAAATTCGTTGAAAATAGCAATATGTTCTGAAAGAAAATAGAAATATAACAAACAAATAATATACTTGTGTAAATATATAGTTATGTAACAAATGGGTGAATGTTTATTACTTCGATTAGTGTTGATCCAATACAGTGCGGTTCGAAAATTTTTAAACAAATCTATGAGTTAAATAATTATAATAAATTCTATACTCACTTTTCGGATTTTTAAGCAAAAAATAGTTTCCAACTATTGGATATGGTTTAGGTCCATCAATTTTTTCAAATTGTTTCAAGTATTTGTACCTTTTAAAGTACAAAACGAGAAAAAGAAGCAGAATCACAGCCGCGTATTGCCACATCTTCTTACAAACACTCAGAAAATTGTGAAAATGAATATACATTCGATTAATTATCTGGCGTTGCAAGATTTTGTTAATTTTATAATAAAAATAGAATAAGGAATCAGCTAGAATGCGCAGTGTTTATACAGATAAGGTTCATATATGTTTATTTATTAACAACATATTACTTATTTTGTTTACAATTTTTCGTGAGTACTTCTAGGTTTCAACTTAACGCAGATTCCATTGTCTGAGGTCAACGTGACCTTGGAAGTTAGTTGGGGTGTGTATCCAGGTACAGGAAGCAACTCAAAGTTTTGAATCACTTTAGCTATGGCCGACTTCAGCTCAAGCATAGCGAATTTTTGTCCTAAAATAAAAATAGCAATATTTTTTTTGTAAACTTTAAAATACATAATCAAATTAATTACCTATACAATTTCTGTGACCGGCGCTGAAAGGAATATAAGCTAACGGATGGCGTTTAGACTGTTCATCAGCTGTAAACCTTAAAGGATTAAACTTCTCGGGATCCGGGAATTCATCGGGATCTCTGTGCAAAGAGTACAGGTTTACGCCTATTCTTAAATTCTTTGGTAATTTGATTCCATCTGAAGAATAATAGAATATAAATTAAGACTCAAATAATCAATCAGTTTTGCACTGACTGTAGACAAATTCTTTATCCACTACTCTTCCATATAACGCGACTGATGGATACAGTCTTAGAGATTCCTTAATCACCATCTCTAAATATTTTAAATTCTGAACATCAGTGATTGTAACAGCACGATCTGGTGGTAAGACTTGGCAAACTTCCTCGTAGACCAGTTTCTGCACCTCCGGGTTTTTTGAGAGATTGTAACAGGTGAAACTTATTGCCGCTGAAGTAGTATCATGTCCCTAAAAATATATTGAAATCTAGAAATATGATCTTAAAATTATTTATAATTTGTTGTTTGAGCTCCAAAAATACGTCAGATGAATTACTCACCTCGAATAAGAAAGTATCAACTTCCTCGCGAATCTCTTCATTGGTCAAAGGATTACCATTAATAGTACTCTTCAACAGAATATCCATGAAGGTCATCTTCCTTCGTTTACCAAACTCGTCGTAGTCGTTAACATCATCGGAATGACGCGACTCTAAAAATTGTCTGCGTTTCTCGATGATGCCGAGGCTAAAGCTTGTAATAGTTTCCAGAGCTTTTATCTCGGTTTTGTAGAGATTTGTATATTTGTACATCCATTCACTGATGTAAATCGGGTTTACAAGGCGCGTCGATGCAATATCGCACATTGTTTCTATCGCATCCATGTATTTGTGATCGGGATTGCACTGGACGTTCACGGATGTTCCCATCGCACTATCTAGAAATAATCACTATAGACTTAAGCTCATTCGCTTATAACCAACTACTTACCGCATATAACGTCCAACGTATAGAGACTGAATAATTTGTGCACGTTCACGCAATCCTCGCTGGAGGCTTTCAGAAGATTGTCGATCAAGAACTTTCCTCGCGATTCGAACACATCGATGAAATCTTCCAAGATCTTGTAATGGAAAGCCGGTGTTAGGATTTTCCTGTGCGCTCGCCATTTCTCCCCTGTATACCATTTATATAATAAATAATACTCAAACTGTGGAAATTTTCCATAATACCTGAACTGATCAGAAGACCATCGCCCAGCCATCGATTGAATAGCATGATATAGTCATTTGTTTTATTTATCAAGTTTGGAGAAGTCATGACCACCTCTAGGAGTTTCACATCAGTTGTTACCAAAGCCGCGTGCATACCAACGAATAATTTTGTGGTCTTTCCATATTTCCTAGGAAAATCGTCGAAAATAGCAACATTTTCTGAAAAATAACAAAAATATATTAAACACAATTTAGTGTTTAAATATTTGAAATAATTTGATTTAATATTTCAAGTTTCATAGCTTCATATAGTTAAGCAATGAATGGGTGACCTACATCTATTATATAAATTATTCGCAACTAATTATTGATTGAAAAAAAAATCTGAATTTAACATTTTTCTAAGATCAATAAATTGTTAACGTCACAATATAATAGATAACACCTTTTTTGCTTCGATTAGTGCTGATCAAATTTTGATACAAATTAAATTCGATTTTTTTTTTAAATATTCATATGGCATCAAATCTGTATTTAGAGATTCACTTCGAGACAAATAAAAAATCTCAACTTACATTTTTTAAATTAAATTAATTTAATAATTTCATTATCCAATAATTACTTAATTCTAATCATTTCTATACTCACTTTTCGGATCTTTAATCAAAAAATAGTTTCCAACTATTGGATATGCTTTAGGTCCATCTATTTTTTCAAATTGTTTCAAATACTTGTACCTTTTAAAGCACAGAACGAGAAAAATAAGCAGAATCACTAACGCGTATTGCCACATCTTCTTAGAGACACTCCGAAAATTCGATTAACTGTCGCTACAAGATTACATTAATTTCATTACAAAGAAACAAACAGTGCTTATAGATAAGGTTCTTAATGTTGTAACAGCATAGTTGACCTAAAAACAAATTATTTATCAGCTTGAAAAATAAATAAGCAATCATTTATTTTAGTTTTTTTCTTAAATATTTGTTTCTATTTAAATTTAAAAAAACTTCTTTGTTTTTACTACAGGATTAATTTACTCGTTTATGTTAATAATTAAATTCATGATCTATAATTCATTAAACAAGACATAAAGCAGATATTTTTAGGTGTAAATAAAATCGTTGATTTAATGTCGATAAATCAAGTTTTTTTCAACATTTCGCACCTTGTTTCGTATGAAATATTTGTCGTAAATACAAGGCAATTCGCAACACCTGCTGCATAATTTAGGAGAGTCTATTAGTCTATTAATTTTCGATCAACAAGTGAAGATTTAAAATTTCCCAAAATGAAATATTAGTAATTTATTTGTTGGAAATATGCAATTAATAGCCCTAATAGTTTCACATTATTTATGTAAAAACATAATAATAATTATGTTTTATAAAATAATTAAGATTTAATAAAAAAAAAGTATGATTGTTTTAATTAAGATGTGGCAATACGCGTCAATGATCAATTTCAGTACAAAAATATAAGTAATTAAAGAAGCAGACACGTTACAAAAAAAAATAAACAAGCAGCAAAGCACAAACAATTAAAACAAAAAAAGTACTGTACGTTAAAGTAAATTACGCGATTTTTCTGCTCACTGCAGACAGAAGATATTTCACGTTTCTTCTCGGACTCCTTTTTATCATCCGCCCTTCATATTCATTTTTGTTTGTCCGGCCAATTCATTTGAGCGGAGGAGCCCTTTTTTTAATTTATGTATGGCAATTTACTCTGCTTTTATTATTATTTACTTCGAGCGAAAAACTGACAAAAAAAAATACGAGAAGAAAGAATGATTGCGCAAATAGCACAGGTAGAACGTAAAGGAAATTTGAATTGGAAAAAAACGAGACAATAAAAATAAAATAAACAACTTTATTTATTCACGACAATCCAATTATGCTTTGCGTCCTTTAAATTAGTCCTTCGAAACAGTCTGTTAAATAATTCATACGCAAAATGAAATAATAATTATTTTATTCTCTCGCAGTTTCGGTCAGAGCTGGACCGATATTAATATCGAGTAATTGATGAAAATTATGTTATTGCTGGTCATTTATGTGCGGTGCTTGCAAATTGTGCGTTGACAATTGGTCGGAGCGAATAAACAAAATTCTCGTATACAATTATGTTTTATTTCGTTTTGCGAAACGAAAATTGATTCAGTTTAATTGAAACATAATATTTGTCGATATTTTTTGTTTCATTATAAATTATTTATGTTTATATAATATTTTTTTTTATATTGATTTTTACAATTATTTTTTATTAAACTAAAATGAAAGAAAAAATAAAAATATTCTAATATTTTCTAAGATACAATTGATATTTCTTCTTCAACTAATACAGATTTGTAGTGAAGTAGCCATCAGGGATGCATGACTAGTTTTGCTCAGGGGCCCACGAAGTAAGGGAGTCAATAGGATACAAAAATAAGTTGTTGAATCTTGAAAACAATAGCAAAATTTTTTTCAATAGCTTCGAATTCAAACATGTTGGGGCCCACATATTGGTATACACTTTTTGTAACTCCAGTACACATTTATGTGTTATTTTCAAAGTGTGGAGGATGTAAGAAACAAAAACTTTTTCTCTAACCTCAAATTCCAATTGCATGGGGCCCACAAATTCAATCAAAACAACTTTCCTTGCACTCAGTTCTTTTAACGCTAGTGGAAATGTGTGTGTTATTTTTAATGAATTACACATTCAAACGTACATTAACGTCCAAAATTTAAACTTCATTTGGTTCCACAAACTCAAATTAGTGTGTAACGCCACTGCAAATTTGTATGTTATTTAACTTAATTAACTTACTTTTGTAACTATACTACAAATGTGTGAATTATTTTCATTGAAAGTCTAATAAAAGTATGTTATCAAATCTACTTTCATGGGACCCACAGATTTAAATTTTCCCTGGGCCTACAAGTTAAATCAATTAGCCATTCTTTTGACTCTTGAAAACAATAGCAAAAACGTTTTCTATAGTTTCGAATTCAAACAAGTTGGGGCCCACATGTTGGTATACATTTTTAGTAACTCCAGTATACATTTATGTGTTATTTACAATTGAAGTTTAATAAAAGTGTGGAGGATGTAAAAAACAAAAACTTTTTCTATAACCTCAAATTCAAATTGCATGGGACCCACAAATTCAATCAAACCATCTTTCCTTGCATTCAGTTCTTTTAATGCCAGTGCAAATGTGTGTGTTATTTTTAATGAATGTGTAATAAACGTGCATTATCGTCCAAAATGTAAACTTCATTTGGTTTCAAACTCAAATTAGTCTGTAACGCCACTGCAAATTTGTAAGTTAATTTCGCAAGGATATTTTTGTTACTTAATTAACTTACTTTTGTAAATACACTACAATTCTGTGTATTATTTTCATTGAAAATCTGTTATCAAATCTACTTTCATGGGGCTCACAGATATAAATTTTCCTGGGGCCTGCAAGTTAAATCAATGAGCCATCCACTTTTTTTAGCTTCACTGCAAATTTGTGTATTATTTTCAATGAAAATCTATTAAAAATTGTGTTAACGAAAGGATATATATAAAATAAAAACTGAGTTTTAAAGATATTAAATGGTGGGTTAAATTCATGGAATGATCCATTTAGTATCCTTTCAAATATTTCATTGAATGTGAAAAGCCGGCCGTTTCCATTTATACAGAGAATGGCCGAATTTCAATGGAAAATGTCTTCTTGACTGGAAAGTGTATTTAGGTAAAATCAATTGGGACTGACAAATAATACAAAAAAAAAGAGAGAGAAAAACTGATGACGAGGAGGGAGTGAAGTGAAAGTATGAAAGGATTAAACAATGGTCAAATGGTTTTTGAATGCCAGGGGATTAGTCCTGTGTGTGTGCGGGGTGGTTTTGCGCTGAGGGGGTGGGAATTGATTGGCGTTTTGTTGGGGATTCGCGTTGATTAAAGACAATGAATGAGCGAACGAATGAATGGAGCGGAGATTTCGGACGTTCCAATTGAACGGTTTCGGTTGCGGTGCTACCCAAACGTCGTTTGTTGTTGCCTGCTACTGCTGCTGTTGTTATTGTCGCTGTTGTTATGATTGTATAATCCGTTTATGCCGGGGCTGAGGGTTGCACAGTGAAATGGTAGTGGTTGGCGTCGCAGTTGCGTTATTGTTAAATTTCACGTGGCACGGTTCGTTTGCCATCCATTTGTGTCCCTAAACTGTGAATATTATTAAATCGGATAGTGCAGTTCGACTGCACGCCCCAACGGAATTCCAAAACCGCCGCTCTTTATTTTCGTTATTTCCCCAAACATTTTTCCGATACCCCATTTTATTCGTTTTCACCCTATCCGCGTCCCGAATCCGTTCATCTCTTTGTCTCGTTCCGTGCGCGCTTGTTGGTTTTTCCCACTTTTACATCTCTTTGATGCAACTTGCTTTTTCCCGTTCTGTTCCGCGCTTTGCCATGTCCGGAAATGAATAAGTAAATAGAGACCAGTGTTTTTGCGGGCGCCGCCGCATATATTTAATTTGGCTCCGCCAGTTTTTGGTCCGTGTAGCGAAATCCCCCCGCCGCCGTCATCCCCTTGCCACTACCCCGGGACCCTGAATAAGTCATGGCCAGAACATCGCACGGAGGCCGTCTCTGAATATAATTCATGCTACGTCCACTGAGCATTGTCCAGGGAAATCCACCCTCATTCATAATGGACATGTGTGACGGACGTGACCCCTTCTTACAACAACGCCTCCATATCTCCAGATAGCACAGAAACCCGATTCCTTCCGACCAAAATGGCCCAATGGCTCTGGTGACAATAACGCGTACTGATTTTCCTCGCCGCATACACACACACAAACCATAGTCCTCCTCCAGCCTCCTTAAGCGTCCAAAAGAATAAACCTCACAATGAACTATTCTATCCGTCCACTATCGCAAATCTACCATTCTCCTCCTCGATGCGACGACAAGAGATTCAATTCACTTTCAACATTTGCAACTGCAAACTAACCAAATTTCCTGATAACTTAACTAACCCATAACTTTATACTGGAAATAATAGCAACAATTATTGATCAAATCGATGTCGTGTCCCAGGGTTGTTTTTCTGGACACTGTGGGATATCTTCTGGTGTTGTCGTTGTGGAGTCTTAGTTGTAGGAATTAAATAATTCAATTGGTTTAAAACAAGTTTATTATAATAATTACATAGTTAATTCTTATTAATACGAGTTTGAGGAGTCAGGTCACTGTTCTCCATAGGACCTGTCAATTCTTCAGTTGGTTTCTAGTTGAAAACACGAAAAAACGCCGCAAACGGTCACTGTCTTCCGTGGGATATGTCTATTCTGCATTTTGGTCTTATCAGTTGAAAATAGGAAGGAATGTTACAATCGGTCTAACGGTGAAAGTTCTTTTATGCTGATGTATATGTTTATATAATAAGGCGACTAAGACACGCCGTAGATGTCTCTAATTCGTTAATACGCTATAATTGTAATAATAATGGTTGGACAGAACATCGATTTAAGGAAAAGTATATGCAGTGTTGTGTCCAACTGATATGTCCAGAAGCTTAACGCCTAATTACAACACATTTATATATAAATTAATATATTTTGTTTAGGTGTCCCCGAATTGTATGTGAGACAGAAACAAAATCTTTGAATGAACTGATCTGACCAACTTAATTAAAACCTCACAATGAACTATTCTATCCGTCCATTATCGCAAATCTACCATTCTCCTCCTCGATGCGACGACAAGAGATTCAATTCACTTTCAACATTTGCAACTGCAAACT